AACTAGATTTTTTTCTTTTCACTATACTTTTGTTAGGACACCTGTGAGGATATAAGATTACGAAATCATTCTGTGGACACTTTTAGTATTAGCGAAAAAATCAATATTTAAGGAAAAAGTCAATTTCCATAGAAAATACTAGAATAATGATTAGTATTTCGAAGTTTTAGTTGTCAAACATTGACCTCTATGAAAAATAAGCATCATATTCGAGATCAGCGTGCAAAAATACATCAAGGCATCTTTTTTGCATCGTGAAATATTTCCCATCAAAAATTTTTCACTGCTCCCCTCAGATTTTTATTTATTAAATTCTGACCTGTACCCCCTACGGGGAAATATTTCGCAATAAAAATCAATTTCTTAGTATATTTTTGCATGCCGATCACGAATATGGTACTTATTTTCCATAAAAATCAACTATTTCCGGTCAAAATTCTGAAGAACTGACCGTTTTCTTTAAATTTGTGATGTGAAAATGACTGTATTCAAGAAGTTTGAATCCCAGTAATAAAGATTAACATTTTGTTTTGACTTTTTTTTAATTATTTGACAGACTGTATGAAAGTACGTTGATCGTAAAAATATCACTACTTAACTCATAGTCACTGTAAAGTTATTGGTTAAACAATATTTATAATGCATTGAAGAATAACCATTAGAAAGAAGAATTTTTATGATAGTCCGCATTTATTAATAAAGTAGTCGGATAAGATGATTTTAATTTTATTCTATAGAATCTTTAGTTCTATATACAGTAAAAATTTGGTGGTTATTCATGCTACTATAGATGAGATACAGATTTCGATAGGATCGAAGGGTCAAGATCTGTTGAAAATGATTTTGTTGCTAAAATATTGATCTTTTTGCTAACACTAAAAATATCCAAGGAATGATTTCGTGATCTTGTATCCTCAGATCAGTCCCAACAAAAAAATAATTAAAAGAAAAAAATCTAGCGGCGGAGGGGATAGGTGGCACTTCATTTCATATAAAACTTTTGAAAAATTTAGGAGAAAAGATTAGAAAATTTCTCAGTTTTCCAAATTTTCAATTTTATGAGAAATGACACTCCTCATCGGCAATCCTGGACTAAAACATTCTGTGGCCACGACTTATGTTGGTTACGGCACGAGCGCGAATGTTTTCTGAATCTAATCATCAGAGTCAAGCGTTATCGTTCCGAGGTTCATGACCACTTTGCAGGCTTCTAGCCTTCAGAAATCAACCTTCACGCTCTGTATGTACATAATTATAATTGGATGCTGAAGTTTCAGCATATAAAACAATCACAATCTAAATAAGTTTAATATGGAACTGAAAAGAGGTCCTTCAGCTGTATAAAACCTAAAAAATGGTTGTATCGCGACTTCACGAAAACAATTGTCAATATCTAAAACGAAAGATTTTGAATTCAAGTACACAATATTGATAAATTTTACTAGGTACGCATGAATGAAAAGATCCAGATCCGATTTTGAACCGATTCATTTTCCATTAATTACTGAGATGTAGTAGAAATAAGTCACAAGATAGGATATCAATATTGTCTATAATAGGTCTACTCATAATGAAATCAATCATCGAAAAACTGAAGAGCTACAGACATTCGTAATGAAAATCAAAATGTTCGGAAATATCGAAATCCGAACGTGATCAAGTCTTGATATGATTTCATGATCACTCATATACTTCAAAGAGCACTTGAACAATTGCGTAAAATACTTGATGCTGTCTGAACAGACTAAATAGGTCCCGAACCAGGCACCAGAACTCAAAGAGAATTGTTCGTTCTCGATCATCAAAACAATGCTCGAGTTCGTCGCAAGCCTGAACTCAACATAAGGTGTGAACTGCTCGTATTTGAGACGAAATGTTGAGCTTTTATAATAGCTTTGATACGAAATCTTCAAAAATTTTCCTCGCATGAGTGATAAGCCCTGAAAAGTTTTAATATATCATTGCATGTCAACGTTTCGCACGTTCGGCTTATTCTATGATGTGGTTGTGAATTCAAAACCTTTGGATTTCGACAGTGACGAAGTCGTGAGAGAACTTTTTAAAGACTAGAGTTGTAGGACCTCTTTTAAACTTCATAATAAACTTTTTTTTTAGAACGATTGCATTTCTTGATCAAATTGTCATACTGAACTTTGATATGCTTAAATTTATGTTTTCTGAGTCCGTGAAGATTTCTACTTTTGATTTCATCATAAAATTGAACTCTTGATGATTAAAATTACCTTTTTCTTCTATTTTTTTCGAAGTTATCCTTTTATAAAGCTTTTAAGTTGTTCAATAATAGTAAAAGGACCAACATTTATTTAACTGATTTCGTATGTTCACGTTATCTATAATTAAAAATAGTTAAATAAAAAATAATATTAACAAATTGATAGATATCAGTACGTTCATATGAATGATAAAAAACCTGTAATTACTGTATGAATGAAATTGATCATCTTCGATAAACTTTAATGGTAAACTATTTTATCCTGACAGCTTCAAGCGTTTTCTAAGCGTAGTAAGATGAAACGATAACAATAATAATTCAATTTTGCTTAATTGAAGATAGGAAGAATGCTTTATGTATCTTGTTAATAAGTTAATTTTTAAATAAAATAAATGTTAGTAGGTTTCTTTTAATAATTTTTCTCTCTATTTTAATTATCAGTAAAATTAAGATTTTAAATTGATTGTGTTTTTAACTATAGGTACCAAAATTGAAATGTTTTATATTTAAAGGTCACATTTTCGATGATTTAGAATTTATGTATTTAAAATGGCTGCTTAATAATGTTAATCATGTTCGAAAACTTAAAATTTATTTAGAGAGTGGCGAAATATTTAGAACAGATCAGTCCATTTGGAAATCTGTAATAGATGCAAATTTTGTTCGTCAATATTGTTTACCTGATGAAGTAGTGAATTTAATTGATTTTGATTTTTATATTTGTTCAAAACGTCAATTAGCTGTAGGTGATATTGAACACATAGTTACTTCATTTAAAATAAATTCTTTTTTCATTAAACATCAATAGACAAATGTTTCATGTTTCTATAACGAAAATAAATCATGTCAATATATATTTTCTTCTACAAAATATAAACTCCGAACTTTTCATACTCTATGGCAAGATATTATTTAATTATAACATATTTTCATAGTATCTTTCTTTGTTTATTTAGTGAATATCGATGCATAAATGATTGGCCAGATCCTCGATGCATTGAACTTAATTTTAGTTCTTCTCTTTATTTGTTTCTCGAACAATTCGATGAACTATGTTCTAATGTTTCTTCGATCATAGTTCATAGAGGTAAACATTGTTTTTTGATAATTTTCTCAATAATTTTAAGAAAACTTATTAAGCATGATGAGATGAAAAGATTTGAATTTTCAATGAATATTACGACATTAACCTTCACTCTGAGTATTGTTCTATGTTCAAAAACAAATTATCGAATGTTATTTTTTTAATTTTTAATTCATTTTTACGATGTGCCGCGCAGCTTTCCTTATGTGAATCATTTCAATCAAGTATTCTAGTCGTCTAAATCCTTCCATATTCTGTTATTGGTACTTGACACATTGTACTCATTGAAAGAAGAGTCTTTTTTTGACTTCTTAGAATAAATAAAAGCATAAAAAAGATAAAATTAAATTATATAGAAAGCTAGACGCACTCTATGCTGCAGAACTCACTTTCAGTTTTAGCGAAAAGGTCGGACATTACAGATAGATATAGATTCCCATTGGGCGATTGTTAAAATGCTAAAACTAAACATAATGATAGAGTAACACTAGAATTGTGGATATTATAGAGAAACTCAAGGCGAACAACCTTAAGATTCAGCAATATCGCCACAATTTACGAGGAAGAACATCAACGAAATAAAGAAAATAGTTGGTGTTCTATTGTACTGTTGTTATGAGTTGTTCTATCGTCATAGCTATGCTAATATTGAGAATACACAAAATGCATAAACATAACCATAATAAAACTGATAATAATTCGACTATTATGTCTTTACATACATATATTGATGTATTGAGCATAAGTAGAGCTTTCCGACCCTTTCGGCCCATTATCAATACTTGATAGATACAGAAAAACTATGGGTGTTTGTATGTCTAATACAACGTATCAGATCAAATGCTTCCGATAAATAAATATATCTTGTTTAAGAAAGAACATATTCTATTTCTGCCAGAATTCAATGAAAGTTTCTGACTCTTTTAAGGTGAAAATGAAAACTTTTCAAAATTGAACCAGCAAAGTTGGCGCATTCTTTATTTTCCATTCGCTTGATCACTTGTTTGCACAGTTCATCATTATTAGCAATAAATCTAAAAATATCTTTCTTGTAGTTTCTATAGTTCTTTCTGAAATATGTTTCGGTATTAACACTTGAACAAATTATTTTTTGCTTATATTCTTCTATATCAACATCAGTTTGAATAATTATTATCACTATGTGAAATAGTTGAGTAACGTATGATATCCGAAGCAAGTTTGTACACGAGCTCACGCTGGAATCGTATCGACGGAAGTATTTGGTCAAATGCAAAAACTTCAGTCGATACCATGAAAAACTATTTACAATTTTCATAGTTTATTACTTGAATAAATTCTATTATAGTGAAATTAAGTAGATCGGGAATTTCGAATTGCAAATTGCTTGTATAAAAAAAACAACGACGATTAAAGAATTGAATATTTAATTGGGGTATATTATTCCTACGCAATATTAGTAAAAGAACATACGTAAAATATTCGACTTTTATTGTGAGAAGTTCGTATAAGAAAGAAATTTTTTCTGATTATAAATATTACGAGTAAGTGAGAATAAATTTTATTAAATTTTCGATACACTTATTTCCTCTGTTTTTTGTGTGAAAACGTTTTTTCATGCATCAAAGTATAGGAAAGCAGCAGTATTATAAAATAGAATATTCGTTGGATATCTATGAACACAAATGAGATAGTACATTGAGTTTCAAAAGAATTATCTTCGATCGAACTATTATTTTGTTTTTGTGGCCTACGTCTTCTTCATATATAGTCATAAGAATATTCTCTATCTATATCATCATACACAGGGCGGGGCAACGTTTTAAAATTGAGTAAGGCTCAGCTGAAGTCTATTTATTGTCCCAAAATAACTCGTCAAATATCAATATGAGATCAATTGGGGACCTTCAGGTGATGGGTCATGCCAGATTGTTTAATGGTATTTTGGTCAAAAAAAATATTTTGCTGATTCATTCTGTTCTTTGCCAAGTGAGTTTCTCAATGTTTACATGAAAAACAAAATTGGAAAGCTACAAGAATCATTTATTTTACATTCGGATATCAGCTCAAAAGTAGCATGCGCTCTGCCTTTGACAGAATAAATTTGAATTCGTTGTTTTTGATAAGGATGCAGAATTAATTGTAGTTGACGATCGATCAAAGTTATTGATTCTCACTTGATCTTCATGTTCATCATAATTTTCCAAAAAATTATAAATGACGAACTTCATGTGTCAAAAGAAGTACGAACTTGCGTAACAAAAGAAAATTCGCTGCTTTTTTCTTGAGAGCTGGTTAAAAGATCATTTAAAATTTCTTCTAACAATTTCTTCTGTAGAATCTTGTGCAGATAGATATAATGCTAGGGTTACCAGATCGAAAAATTATAGAAATCGGATTTAATCCATTGAAATTCAGTAGTGTCAAACTTGAAACATGAATTCAATTGAAATATTTCCCTTCAAGTTTCAATCTACCTCTTACATGTAGCATGCTACTTGTTACTTGTAGAGTGATAGTGGTTACCTATAGGACGCTAGAGAACATCTTCACAGGCTCGACGATAGGGGTACGAGAATGGATCACATATTCGCATGGTAGGCGGCGTTATCTATAACTTGTTTTCGTCATGGTCAGGATTCCTTTTCTATCATCAACATCGAGGCAGATGCGCGTGGGTCAGAGCTGGACAAGCACAGATTTTTTCGAGTGCGAGTATTTCGCTCAGCTCGGCTGTGAGTTCCTTCGTTGTTGAAAGATGACACTTCAATTAAATTCATTTTTCAAACTCTCGTAAGTTTTGATCCCCTCATCAAATTTTTGTTTTTCTTACATGTTTCTTCATTCGAAGATAACCATTGATGAATGTTTTTATTGTTTGTATAAATCGAATTTCAACTGGTAAATGTTTTTTCGAGCAGAACTATTCATGTTGCATTATAATCAAGAATTAAAAATAATCATCACTTCCTGATAATATTTCGACTGTTTTTTCTTATTTTTATTGATGCTTGTATCCCTGTAGTAGAAATAATTAGAAACGTGAAATTCTAGTATAGAGTAGATCTAGAGATATAGTGTAAATATTGAAAATATCAGCCTCTTCGAATGAAGAAACATGTAAGAAAAAACAATTTGATGAGGGTATCAAAACTTACGAGGCACTCTTTATTTTGTCTGGTTCATGCCTATCACATGATCCTTTGTGATTCGTTTAGTTGGCATAACAATTTATGTAACATAGAATGTGTCCTTATGAATAGAGGTGTCGACTTAGCATGAGTGTAAAAAAAGGCCCTAATGCATGTGTATTAGGATTAAGAAAATAATTTAACACTTTTGCATTAGGGTAATACTAACATACAAATTTCCCAAAAAACAGAACAAAATTGTTCTGCTATGAGAGGACAACCCCATAACAGAACACTTTTGTTTTGTTTTGGGGGAATTTATATGTTAGTATTATCCTAATCAATGCAAAAATCAATACTAATGCTAAAGCATCAAGTTAATATTTTAACACTAATACAAAAGCATTAAAATTTGCACTTTTCAATAGCATACTCATGTCAAGCTGACACCCGTACTTTTGAATCATGACAATGCCATTAGTGAATTCACTGCGATCTGTGACTCTCTAGTCTTCATCACAACGTATAAGTAAAAGTACTACATAATCAAATGTCCATACTAAAATAAGATTCGCATTATAAAACGACATAAAGTTTACATGTGATGAAGTTTCAAATTTACAATTTGACTGAAGCTAAGCCTGCAGGGACCAAAATCGACTGATGCTCAAGCTTCATCCAGTCTACACGTTCCTCCATACCCGATTGTATGAATGCACTAGTGTACGGCATGAGCGCAAAATTCATGATCAGGATTATGCATAGTTAGAAGTTTTCTTCTTGCGGTCGCCATCGCTGTCAAAAATAGCAATCAAGTAGTACCCTTCTTTATTTTGTGCTGTCTTATGATTGTTTTTCTCTTGTTAGACGTTTTTTTGATATTCATTATCTATGCAACTTTCAATACCATAGCTTTTCCTTTCATTGTCTTTATCTATGTGATTTTAAATCTCATGAATTTGTCCCCCTTTCTTTTCGCTCCTTCTCTATATTGTTGTTCAGTTGTTGGAGAGAGGAGATTATTCGGGAAATAATCTACAAGTGTTATATAGAGTTCATATGCTGTTTTTAATTAAATTGTGTTGAATGAAAAAAAGATTATTTTTATATAGGAAACTGCATGGATGAATCAAAAATTATAATGCTTTTGACAAGACCATTTGAAATTGGACCACAACATTTAAATGATATCCGATTGAAAAATGTTACAAAACTCCAATTGGGAGATTGCTTTTTTCGTTCAGTTGGTATGCATTACTATTTTTTCTATTGATAAAAAATACAACAATTATTTTTAAAATTAACTAATAAGAGTAATTGTCTTATTTCGAAAATATTGTTTAGTGTTTCTTTAAAACGAAATCAACCTCATTTAAGAATATTTAAACAGTCGATACTCTTTATCTACTTTAAACCAAAATTAAACAGCATCTAGTATAATTAGATTGTTCAGTATCGTTTCAGCATCAAGTTAACGAATAAAGAAAAATCTTTATTGACTAAAATAAATAATAGTAATGATTCTTTTCTGTTGTTTTGTTAATAAGCTACTGTATTGTTATCAACGATTTCGTTTTAAACTGTCGAATATTTGTTTAATGATCCATTATTTAATAATTAGTGATTTTTCCATCACTGCTACTGAATAGTGTAACTCTTTCGATATCATTAACTTTGCAACTATTTTTAGACACGATTAACAGATAAGAAAAATTCAAATTGAATTGTTTTTTCTATCCCTTGCGACATTATAAGTATTTGTTTTAAATGTTGTTTTACAACAATGTCTATTAACACATAAATAAAACGTAAATGAAATCATTTTTTAGAATTTTCTAATAAATCAACACATCGAGATAAGTTACGCGCAAAAGTATTTGCTCATCTTATTTCAACGTGTGTTCAACTTAAATATCTTCTTGTTGACAATTTTAAATGGCTTTTACATGTTACTCGATATGTAAGTATTGATTTTATTTTAAGTTTTTAAGTAAATAAATATATATACACATAATGTCAAGTATTGATGTGCCTAACGGGGTGTGCGAAAGTTTTGAGACAACATGTTTGTTCATTTTTGATCTGCTTGAAATTATTTCCGGCGAGTCAAAATCTATGCGCTAGAACCAGAATTTTGTGGTCTTTCGGGTTATGGACTTAGAAATTTTGTGTCAGTTTTTNTGGCCTGCCGACAGACAAAAGAAAACTCAAATAGCACATTTTATAGGGTAGGTTTTGCTCTACAAGTTGGTATCATAATAAAGGTTCCAAATTTTAGTTTCGGATCATAACAGTGAAAATATAAAAGTGTGCGGAAAAAATTTCTGTCCAAACTAATTTTTTGGACCGTTCAAAGGTTAACTTACTACTCTCGAATAAAAACCGACACAAAATTTCTAAGTTCATATTCCGAAAGAGCATAAAATTCCGGTTCTAACACGTAGAATTTGACTCGTCAAAAATAATTTCAAGTGAATAAAAAATCAACAAACATTTTGTCTAAAAACTTTCGCACACCCCGTTATTATCGGACCAGAAATAAAAGATCAATCGACTATCTTTGAGTGCGTAACGAATACACAGGTTGATCGTGTAATCGATTTTTACAGATCATATAATTAGCGAGTAGAAGTCGGGGGATTTTCTCCTGCTATTTTTTCTCGATTATTAGCTTTCTCCTTGGAAATTTTTTTTATGAGTATCTAGTGGTTTGTAATTTTTTAACGGGACGAATGAACTGTGCAAAAAGGAATGAACTTTTCCTCTTTAGAACTTAACACTTTTCTTTTTTAAACTGATTCAATTTGTCTATGGATCATACAAAAAGAAAATGAATCGATTCCAAAGGAAAAAGCGAATCATTCGGTGCTTAAAAATATAATATGTTGAAGAGACACAAGATTATGCTAACCGAACGAGTATGGTTCGATCATCGACATATTTCAAAATTCACTCAACAATTGCTAATTAATACATGGTACAGAAATCCAACGAAAAATCTAATAACTTGTATCAGAGAAATAGAGCTACGGGATATGATTCAGCTAAATAGCTAAGCGAATATTCGATGGATATCCTACTTTTGAATAAATAAATATATGATAGTATCCGTTAGATAGTGATATGCGCAAGCCATGCGATTAGAAAGAGAAGATCAGAGGAGATTCCCTCTTCCTAAGTTTTCTGTGACATTTAGCCTTACTCCATCAAAACTTTTGTTAGAGTCTGTTTAGTAGATTTTAGGTTTTTTCTGTAGAACAAATATAAGAAAAATATGTACAAGAGAAAGTTTTCTCTTAAATTTCCACAGAGAATCACTGGTTTTCTTCGAAAGAAGAAGTTTTATTAAAATATTTCACTAGCACTCAGCGTTTTTAATGAAGGCAATGCTTTCACTTCAGTTTCCAAGAAAAATTGTACATTTTCACTCATAGAAAAAGCTTTGATTTTCATTTTTGAATGCTTCCTCCTCTTTCTGAATAAAACTAAACGAAAGCCATTCATTTGTACATCAGTCACTACTAATATTTTTATATTTCACCATTCCTTTCATTACTGACTAGATAAATAATCAAATGTTTAGCAATTTCTCTATATTATATTTTGGAATTTTTAAAGAATCAGAGAAAAAGTTTTCTGATAACGTACTCTTGACATCATATTTTATTATAAGATTTTTTCAAGATATTCGTTTTCAATCACATTTTATTTGATCCTATGAAAAAAATATAAAATGTATTTTGAGAAATGTAGTGGCACTTGTTCAGTTAATAATAGAATACGAATAGAATTTAATTTAATTTATGAATGAATTTATTAAATTCTTAACAAGTTCCTAATTTTTTTTGTGATAAATGTGTTTATGGAAAAGAATCTTGAATTAACAATCGAAGTGATAAGAAAATAAATTAAATTCGATAAAATTAAAAAGTAAATAAAACAAAATTCTCTTATAATTGTTAGGCATCTCGTAATCTGCGAAACAATGCATTAAGTAATGTTCAATATGTTGAATTTGGCATCCCAAGTTGTAATCGTGGTCCAAAAAAATCAATTCATTTGGGCAAACGTCTTTTACCTTTTCTTGTTACTAATATGCCTTATTTACAAACATTACGTCTTTGGAGACCAGATGACTTTCCTTGGACAACAAGTAAGTTTATTTTTTAAATTAAATATAATGAATTAGAATTATGGGTGTCTGACCTTACCAACAATAAGAAGCTAAATGAGGGAAACAACATTGATTTTGGTTGCTAGACGACTCAACAGGAAAAACCTCAAGACTCTACTTAAACTTCAATTGACTATTTTTCTTTGAAAAAACTAAATGAATATATAAATAGTATAGTTATTTAATTAATAAGTCAAAAATAAAATTTGATGTCACTTGAATTGATTGAAAAATAGTCAAAATCAGAATCAAATAGCTATTAAAAGATATATCACGTTTATTTTATTCAAAACTATTTATCAGATAAGATTGTTTTTTTTTATAATTTTATACGAAAGATGAAGACAATTTTTTCTAGTCATTAAGCATTTATTGACCAGGTGTACCAAAATATTTTCACCCTTTTTGCTTTGCGTATATTTCAACATGAGTGAATGATAAAATTTTGATTCTTTTTTCAAGAGATGCACGGTCAAAAGTTCTACAAAATCTACACTGTGAAATCCCTATTGATCCTCTTTCATGATTTTGTACTACATTATTTATATAATCTAGGTTGACAACACTAGATCATTTTGCTGTCCATGCGCATCTTGCCCTCGTTTGTCTCTTCTATTTTCTGTCTTGTTTTGCCTTCTCTAATGTTTGCGTACCTGTTCTCTATACATATATAGAGATGCGTGAGTTTCGCTTAATAGTATATTTTCCAAGAAGAAAGAAGAAAGAAATATAGTTTGGTTTAAATTTCAAAAATGATTAAAAGCGAAGATCTACCTGATAGCTGTGTCATAATAGCTTTCTGGCGTTCTAGCGTAGAGCCCATCTGGTATGGGTCTGAAGATTTTTAATAGTCATTTCCGTATTGAAAAACAATTTTCCTTCATATCAGAAATTTCTGTAAATTCTTGTTCATCTTACGCCAAAAACATTAAATTTATTTTTAAAAAATAAACAAAAGTAATAAAGTACGAGCTCCATTCAAGCCTGAACCGACAAAAAATTGACCGCTGAACCTTCGGTTCAAAAGCTTATCTCGAGCGGGCCCGGATCCAGAAGTTCTTAGACCTGACGACCTCTATTCTGGTGTCTTATTATGAAACTTCGTTTTGAAATAAAAAAAGAAATTCTTAACAGTGTTTACAACATTTCTGTTATACTCGACGTAGTTGGAAATAGTAACACAAAGTAGGTCATGGCTTTTAACCAATAAGACAAAAGGAAAACCATAAAAAAGAAAGAGTAAATAGAAGTTTCGCTATGTATATATTGTTAAACTTTTGACGGTGCATTGTTTAACTAGAACTTCAAGATTTTATCATTTATCCACGCCGAGATATACACAAAACAAAAAATATTGCTCTTATGCTGATATGATAAAAAAATAGCATTGGAATGTAGTGTATCATTTTCGTTCTAGAAAAAAGATCATCAGAACATGTTAGTAGGAATTTAATCGAGCATATTTTGTAGAGTTTTTTAAGGCATCTTTTGAAAAAAATCAAAATTTTAATATTTATTCTTACTGAAATGTATGCAAAATAGAATAAAATGATGTATGTAAACATTTTGATATACTCGATATTCGTTTAAAGAAAAAGAAATAATTTTTTTAACTAAAACTATTTCTAATTTAAACTTTCTTTAACTTTGCTCTAGTTCGACCAGATTTTTTAAAATCTGGATACTTTCATTCGATTGGAGAACGACGATGGATACAATCTTTACAAACACCCCAATCCATCAGTATGTGATTCAAATATATTTATGAAAAGAAAAAAGACAAATATAATACTGTACTTTTGATTTAGATGAACATGTAGCAATTTTCCAAGAAGATCTTTCTCAATTATTTGAACAACTAAAACAAATTGTTTTTCTTGATATTTATGGAAAAATTCCTCGAGAGAAAGTTGAACCATATCGCTTGATGCTTCAATCCTGCTTTCCAAATAGTCAATTCGATATTCAAATATCAAGATTTCGTCTTTGGATTTAATTTATCATCTCATTAATATGGAATAAACATATGTTAAAAATATCTATGCTGTTGAATTGATTATTCTCGTTTTGTTATTTAATATGCAATACAGTGTTAAACTGTTGTATAAAACTACTATAATTATTCATAGAATAGTTCTATATTCTTTCAATAAAATCTGAAAAAGAAATATTTTATCTTATGCAATGTTTAATTAGATATTTCAGTTTATCACTTGATATGTAACTTGGAAGTCTAGAGGCAACAAAAAAAAGAAATTCAATAAATTTAAATAAAAATAGCTAAAAAACATAATATTATTAATACACTAATAAATATATAAAATGATAATTGATCTCGATCAATTTTACTATGAACAAGTAAAACAGCTAATCGAATTATTGTATTTGCAGTAACATTTAAAAATCCCGCCATACCATTACCAACTTGAACAGCTTGAGTAAATGAACCAGTTTTAAATAATCCACCTATGTCATAAATAGGCGATTCAGTTATTGTATTTATTCCTCCAACACTTGCAAATGCAATATTTAATCTTATTTTATTTTTTAAAGACGTAACTAGTATAGCAATTATAATATAACCAATAAAACCAGGTATAACACGTTATGTAAAACCATATTTATAAATACCAAAATATAATTGAATTATATGAAGAAGAAACATTGATGAACCAGCTGATACTGTTCCCCAAAAATCTAAATTATCATTTGAAAAGCAATTTATATAATAATTTTGAGCTGATATTAATGATTGATATGCCCATAATACAACTAAATTAAGAAATAATAGACGCCAATAAATTTCTCGGTGATATTTTAATACCTCATTATCATCATTTATTGTTTCAGAAACAGAAATAACTTCGACATTATTTATTTCTAATTTTTTTTTGATGAATTTTTAAAAAATTCATTTTTATCCATTTAAAACAAAATACAAAAAACACTATTCATTTTTTTATTTTTCATTATATAAATAAATAATCAACTATTCTTACATATTATCTAATAATAACAAAAATACAATCAAAAATTATTTTAATTGATAGAGATTATTTTAGAAATTCTTGTTTTTTTACCACGTCATCATTTATATTAAAAGAAAAGAAATATTCCTACTATTGACGCAATTTCTCTTATTTATTCAAACAACGCGAATAACGAAAAATATGGCTGTTCATTCAAATAATGATTAGAGTGATAGATCCAAATTCCATCACTACTTTTGAAAAGTTCCAATAAAACCTCTATATCTCCGTTTCCTGAAGTCCGTTTGAGCTGATTTTTAGATTGCGGAATAGACAAAAACATTTTTCTATCGAATTGTATGATGCATAATATCGATCTATATTCTAATGCTTCGCTTCATATTTTTACACTATACAGATAAGACGTGTTCGTCCTGTTCTTCTTCTTGTCTGTACTGGACGTATACTAAACGTATACGTGCACGTGTATTTCAAGGTTACCAAAATTTTCTTTGTTATTGTTGTTTGTTATCATTATTCTTTATTTAAAATAAAAATTATCCGAAAATGACACACACAATCACAATAATTATTATAATAATAGGTTTGCAATACAAAAGGATCGTTTATGTGAAGGAAATGATATACAAGAACAAATCCATCAATTCAATCAGCAAGAAACAAGTAGAAAATCAACAACATTAAAACGCCATCATACAAACCATAGCCAAGTTGAAGAACAACCTTTCTATGATAGAATTGATGATGATGAAAATGACGAATATCCACAAATTATGCATCACAGAGATAAAAAGAAAATGAAAGATAAAGATGAGAAATATGCAACAAGAACAATAACAAATTCAAATTCATTCCAGGAAAATACTAATATTAACAATTCCAATCGACCACAATCCAAAAGATCAGGACCATCTCAACCACATCAACATCAACCACAAGCAGTAACAATTAGTAATAATAATAATTTGAATGGTAATAATCAAATAAAAGTATCACATTAAGCATTAAAATTCGCAGCTGAAAATCATCTACAATCTCTGAAATTGTATGTGAACCAAAAATTAATGAACAAAAACAAGATGCAAAACTAATTCAAGATTTCTTTAAATTTATTTCAACTGACTCTTCAAAACAAAATCCAACATATTTGAAAACATTCGACTTTGATGTATGGTTGGTTAATAGAGCATATGATGGGGAATTTGAATTTGCGGCAAAATCGATTTCATTAAAATCATCTCTATTTGTGACAAAATAAAAACTGTACTAGTATACCGCTATACTATACGATGG